TAAGAACAGCGTTTTAAGGTTATTGTAAATATAGTAAATCGTTAAACAAAATTTATTCGTTCATGAACCCCCCTCCAGAATTTATGTCTCGTTAGAATTTTGGTCGATATTTAAACGTTAAGAAGTAACATAGTCCTGAACTTGTGCTTTATGAATCCGTGTTGAATTTTTATCGTAGACATCGAAATTTTTGGAAAACAAAATTTTAGGTACAATTTTTCAATTCTTCGATTTTTAGAGTTCTGGCTTTTGATTTTTCAATTTTTCGATTTTTCAACTTTTCAATTTCTGGATTTTCCATTTTATTGGGATTTTTTAGAATTTCGGTTTTTCAATTCTTCGATTTTTTAATTTTTTATCGTTTGATAAATTTTTCGATATTTGAGTCTTGGTATTTTCAATTTTTAGATTCTTCAATTTGACGTTTTAATTTTATGATTTTTTAAATTTTTGATTTTTCGATTTCTAGATATAATTTTCTCGTTTTTTGATTTTCAGTTATTCGTGTTTTAAATTTTACATTTTTCGATTTTTCAATTTTTCAGTATATAAATTTTTCAAATTTTCAGCTTCACCAATTTTTCGATGATTGAAATTTCATTTTTGGGATGTTTTAATTTTTCGATTCTTCAATTTCACGATGTTCCAAATTTTCATTTTCCCGATTTTTTTATTTTTCGATTTCTCGATTGGCCAACATTTCAGTTTTAACGTTTTTCAATTTTTTGATTTTTAAATTTTCCATTTGTTGATTTTTGATTTTTCGATTTATCATTATTTCTATTTATTGATATATCGGTGTATCCATGTTTCAGTTTTGGGATTTGTCAATTTTTTTTCGATGCTTAAATATTCGATTTTTCAATTTTTCGATTTATCGTTTGATCAATATTTTGATATTTGAGTCTTGGAATTTTCAAATTTTAGATTCTTCAATTTAGTGTTTTAATTTTTCGTTCTCTATATTTATTTTCTCGCTTTTTGAATATCAGTTTTTCAATTTTTCGTTTTATAATTTTTACATTTTTGGATTTTTCAATTTTTTAGTTTATACATTTTTCCAATTTTCAACTTTACCAATCTTTCGATTATTCAATTATTCGATTCTTCAATTTCGCGATTTTCCATATTTTCGCTTTCTCGATTTTCTCTATTTTCCAACACTTCAGTTTTAAGGATTCTTGAATGTATCGATTTTTCGAAATCTCATTTTCCAATTTTTGATTTCTCGGTTTTTCAATTTTTTCGAAATTTTCAGCTTTCGATTTTTCAAATTTTCCATTTTGAAAATTTCCAGTCTTTAATTTTTCATTTTTTTTGTACTTCGATTCTTGTATTTTTCGATTTTTCCAAATCTAGTTTTCCAATTTTTGAATTTTCAACTTTTCAATTTTTGATTTTGAATTTCAGGTTTTTTGATTTCTCGGATTTTCGTTTTTTTGAATATTTGCTTAATCGAATTTTCCATTTTTCGATATTCGAATTTTGAATTTGTTTCCTTTTCGACCTATTGATTTTTCAATTTTTCAATTCTTTGTCTTTTCAAATTTTCAATTTTTCGAATTTTTGATTTTTTAAATTTCCGTTTTTCAGTTTTTACATTTTATATTTCATTCATCGAATTTTCAAAGTTTTTTCTTTTGGATTTTCGATTTTTCAATTATTTTAATTTTCCTTTTTTTTTGATTTTTTGAGTTTTAGATTTTCGATACCCGAATTTTCAATCCTTCTAGATATCGATTTTTGCGATTTTTTATGCTTTTTAATTTTTTTTGATTTCTCGATTTAGCGATGTTCCAATTTTCCAATGGTTCGATGTTCGATTTTTCGATTTCTCGGTTTTTCAATTTTTCGGCTTTTCGAGCTTCGATTTTACTCAGTTTCTCCTTTTTCTGATTTTTCAGTTTTTCGTTTTTTTTAAATTTAACATTCTTCGATTTTTCAATTTTTCAATTTTAGGATTTTAACATTTTTTCGAATTTTTCATTTCGCAACTTGCGGTTTTTAATTTAAAAAAATTTTCGATTTCTCGATTTTTCAAATTTGCGATTTTTCATTTTTTCTATGCATCGATTCTTGGATTTTTTGATTTTTCGAAATCTCGTTTTCTAATTTTTGTATTTTCAACTTCTCGATTTTTAATTTCGAATTTCAGGTTTTTTGATTTTTTTGAAAATTTGATTAATCGAATTTTCGATTCTCCAATATTCGAATTTTCAATTTGTTTCCTTTTCGACGTCATGATTTTTCAATTTTTCAATTTTTCGAATTATCGGTTTTACAAAATTTCCGTCCTTTAGTTTTTGGACTTTTCAGTTTTTTTACGCTTCGATTTTTCGATATTCGAGATTACAATTTTTTTACTTTTCGGTTTTTAATTTTTCTGTCTTCAATTTTTGGATTTTTCAGTTATTTTGTTTTTCGATTTTTTGATTTCTCAAGTTTTCGATTTTCGAGTCTCGAATTTTCAATCTGTCTAGTTTTCGATTTTTCGAATTTTCGATTTATCAGTTTTTACGGTGTTTAGCTTTTAGACTTTCCAATATTTTTAATTTTCGATTTCTCAAACTTTTAGTTCCAGTTTTTCGATGTTTCAATTTTTTGGTTTTTCGATATTTTGATTTTCCTATTTCCAGATTTCTCGATTTTCAGATTTTCGGTTCTTGAATTTTTCGATGTTCCAATTTTTTGATCTTAGAATATTTCAATCTGACGTTTCCAAATTTTCGATTTTTTGATTTTCGACTTTTCGATTTCTTGATTTGTTGACTTCTCGCCTTTTCGGCTTTTAGAGTTTTCGGTTTTTCGATATTTTGATTTTCTCATTTCCAGATTTCTCGATTTTCAGATTTTCGGTTCTTGAATTTTTCGATATTTTAGTTTTGGAAATTTTCGGTTTTTCGATTTCTTCAATTTTTCGATTTTTCCGTTTTTAGAGTAATTGTTTGATCAATTTTTCATTTTGAGTTTTGGGATTTTTCAACTTTTAAATTCTTCACTTTGATGTTTTAATTTTTTAATTTATTAAATTTTAGATTTTTCAATTTATAGATCTCTCTTTTTTCGATTTTCAGTTTTTCAATTTATCGTGTTTATAAATTTTTCAAATTTTCAGCTTTACTAATTTTTCGGTTTTTTTTGGATTTATGGAGATTTCGATGTTTCGATTTTTCAGTTTTTCAATTTTTCGATTTTTCCATTTTCCAAATTTTTACTTTTTCGGTGTTCGAATTATTTATATTTCGATTTCTCTATTCTTCAATTTTCCCATTTTTCGATTCTTGGATTTTTCGATTCTAGAATATTCGATATTTCGTGTTTTCTATATTCCGATTTTTAAATTTACCGATTTTTCGAATTTTAGGTTTTCTGTTTTTGTTTTCTTTTCGACGTATTAATTTTTCAATTTTTGAATCTTTTACTTTTCAAATTTTCGAATTTTCGATTTTGCAAATTTCCATTTTTCAGCTTTGGCACTTCATATTTCGAATATACCTAAATTTTTTTTTTTTTCGATTTTCGATTTTTCAACTATTTTACTTTTCAATTTTTTTATTTTTCGAATTTTCGATTTTCAGTACTCGAATTTTCAATCTTTCTAGGTGTCGATATTTCGACTGTTGATTTTTCGAATTTTCTGTTTTTCAATGTTTACATTGTTCAACCTTTCCACTTTTCAATTTTTTTAATTTCCGATTTCTCAAGTTTTCAGTTCCATTCTTCAGTTTTTCGATTTCTCAGTTTTTTTACTTTTCGATTTCTCAGTTTTTGAATTTTTCGAGTCTTCAATTCTTCAATTTTTCGATTTTTTAAATCAATTTTTCGTTTTTTCTTAAATTCAGCATTCTTCGATTTTTAATTTTTCAATTTTAGGATTTTTAGATTTTTTCGAATTTTAGTTTTTCGAATTTCCCATTTCTCAATTTGCGGTTTTTAATTTATAAAATTCTTCGATTTCTCTATTTTTCAAATTTGCGATTTCTCAAATTCTCAACACCTCAATTTTGGGAATGTTTTCATTCCTGAATTTTTCAATTTTTGCATATTTTAATTTTGAGATTTTTCGGTTTACACACTTCTCGATTTCTCGACTTTTCGATTTGGCGATGTTTCAATTTTTCGATGTTTCGATTTCTCAGTTTCTTGGTTTTTCGACTTTTTCCAATTTTTGAGCTTTCGATTTTTCAAAATTTCTATTTTCAAAATTTCGAGTTTTTAATTTTTCATTTTTTCTATACTCCGATTTTTGGATTTTGAATTTCAGGTTTTTTGGTTTCTCGGATTTTCGTTTTCTTTGAAAATTTTATTCATCGAGTTTTCCATTCTACGATATTCGAATTTTCAATTTGTTTCCTTATCGACCTCATGATTTTTCAATATTTCGAATTTTCGGTTTTTCAAAATTTCCATCCTTTAGGTTTTGGACTTTTCAGTTTTTTTTTACTTTTCGATTTTTCGGTATTTTGTTTTCTCGAGTTTTCGCTTTTGGAGTCTCCAATTTTCAATCTTCCTAGTTTTCGATTTATCAATTTTTACGGTGTTTAGTTTTTAGACTTTTCAATATTTTTAATTTTCAATTTCTCAAATTTTTAGTTCCAGTTTTTCGATTTTTCAATTTTTCGATTTTCGATTTTTCGCAGTTGTTATTTATGTCACTGCTTTTAATTTATAGAGGTAAAGAAACAAAAACGCAATTCAAATTTTATATTTTGTATTTTATATAAATTGTCAAGAAAAAAACGGGATTTATTGGGCTTTACTTTAAGGGAGAGGGAAGTTCTGTTGAAATAACCTTCTACCATTTTTTTTAAAAAACCCCAAATTGACGACCGGTAATTGAAGAACATTTCATGTATAATTTTTTTTAAGTTTCATAAAAGCTCAGCTTGACCTATGTATTTATGCAGTGTACATACAGAGTGTCCCAGTATGACCATTTCTTTTATTTTTCTGACTGACAACTTGAACATAGTATTTAATATTGTGTTTTTTCTTTTCAGGTAATGCGATTGAGACATCAGCCACCCTTCAACCGTACATCTAGGTATGACTCCCTTACGTGTTTTTAATTTGGAGCTTTTTCTTTCTGTACTATTCTTCAAGCTTTTTCTTCTTCTTTCTTCTGACCTTTTTCTCATTAACTAACTGCGTTCCAAATTTTTGCGGATGCCAAACAAGCCTGTTTCGCAGTATCAAAGAAGTAAACATTCCCTCAAAGCTAATAGAATTAACATAAGTAATAATACAAAACAAAGAAGCTTGGAGAAAACAGTAATGAGGAAGTTTTAATTAAGTTCGAAAGTTTAACATGTCGAGAAGCAACAATGAATTTAAATTTAGCAGTTTGTTTGTAAAGTGCGGTGGGGCACGACGAGGTAAATAAGACCGGGGGAAAAATGCCGTGTTTAAATAACAAAAAGGATTGTTATTGTGTTCGCTAATTGAGCGTTCAGGATTTTGGCGATAAGTTAGAAAACGCTAACTTTGTAGAATTACTCGTACTGAGAGTGATTCTGAGAATATTTTTGCTCCTCTTCTTAAATCTGCATCGCAAAATTTAAATTGCAGCTTCATAACTTTATTCTAAGAAGATTAATAACTCTGTGCTACGAATGTCCCTCTGTTCTACTTTCGAATTCTAAGCAGAAATTAATTACCTCTTCACTGCCATTCTTACATACTTTTTCCTGCAACTTTAAAAACTTGATTAATATCCTTCATTTCAAACTTGAACATTTCCAGGTGAAGCAGCGAGAAAAATGTTAAACTTTCATGTTTCCCCTCTTCTCGAACCGATGGTGTTTGCAGGAAATCGATAGCTCTTGCAGTTTCTACTCGAGGGAGGGGAAGTTTTCAAATAAATAAACACGCTGTAGGTGTACGTGATGAGCAATGTTTTCGTCTAACATTGTTAGCAGGATCTGAATAATTAGCAGTAACGTTATTATAGGCCATATGATAGGATATTAAAGCTTCGGGATTAGGATTAAGATCCACACTCCACGCGGCTGCGGTTTAGGCGAGAATAATTGATTTTCAGACGTTGTTAGTAAGTCATTTTCTAGGCGGCAACAGCTAGAATGTTTCGTAGACGTTCAATGTACCCTTTTTTAGTTAACTGTAAATAGTTAGTGGAAGAGAGGGTTTCAGACGCCGTTTTTTGTGTATTAGAGAATTTCGCTTTAGCTGCCGTGAAAGGAATGGATTTTTTTCTTGCTTTATTTATAGTGTGGGCGACCCATTCTAGATTTTCTTTGGAAAAATATACATTGCGACATTTGTGTAACAATGCTATCTTTCAGTTGACGAAATCAATAATCCCACGGAGGTTTCGAACCAGCGTTCAGCGTATTGACATAATAATAAATGGTTTAAGATTATTTTTCAAAGGGATTTCAACAAAATTTCACAAAAGGGATTGCTGTGAAATTGCACATATTTTTGGTCAGAAATTATTATTTCCGTTCGTGTTAGGAAATAATAATAATACTAATAATTTATTTACCTTCAGAGAACATTATACAGGACATATTTATGAAAGAAAAAGAAAACTCAGCTTTTCCTAACTCAAATGATATCACTTTGTTTAATTTTTCCAAAAATAGAAGAGTATATATAGGGTCATGATGAAATTTACTTAACAAAAATATGAGAAAAATAATAACAAACAAAATAAACTTGATTTTTTTAAAGATGCGGCTGCAGTTAATACCTGCTAAGATAAAACTGATTTTAAAAAATGAACATAGCCTCTAAGAAAAGAGAGGGCGGGTGGGCGGGGCTAGTACCTGCTAAGATAAGACTGGTTTTAGCAAATAACGTATCCTCTAAAGAAATTTAAATAAATTATTATAAGAAAAGACACTAGAGGTTCCAAAGCACTTTAAAATTTCTTCCAAACAAGAATACCTAGAACCTCAAGACTGTTTTAAATTTTTCAAAAAAAAACGAGTTCTCAAAATTAACTCAAAAACAGATCAGGTAATAATTTTCCAAAAACAGAACACCGAAGTTCCCCAAAATTGTTTTAAATAATTTACAAAAAAACTTTCCATGGGATTCCAAAGTAATACACCTGGGTACTTCTTCAGAGTCTCCGAAATTAAAAAAAAAAAAACACTACAGCACTCAGGATGTTTTCAAATTTATAAAAAATAAAACACTAAAAGCTCAAAAGATTTTTTCAAGTTCATCCAGCAACAAAATATCAGATTCCTTTAAATATACCTCGTACTAAGGTCGTTTGATTTAAAAGAAATTTTTACTTCCCCAACTCGAGGCAAAAACTGTCTGGACAATATCTTTACAAACTAAACACTAGAGAAAATGTTCAAAATTCCTGCCTTCTAAGTAAGCTCGTAATATTTTTTCTAAATTTCGATAATTTTTTGTAAAAGTTAGTCATCACTATTTGTTAAGATAAAACTGATTTTGGCAAATGAGATACCTTCTAAGAAAAGAGGGGGTGGGTGGGCGGGCCTAGTGCCTGATAAGATAAGGCTAATTTTCGCAAATGACATACGCCCTAAGAAAAGAGAGGGTGGGTGGGCGGCCCTAGTACCTGCTAAGATAAGACTGATTTTGGCAAACAAGATTCCTCTAAGAAAATAGAGGGGGTTGGGCGGTGTTAGTACCTGCCAAAATAAGATCGATTTTGGCAAATGACATACACTTTTTGAAAAGAGAGGGTGGGTGGGCGGCGCTAGTACCTGCTAAGATAAGACTGGTTTTAGCAAATGACGTATCCTCTAAGAAATTTAAATAAATTGTTATTAGACAAGACACTAGAGATTCCAAAGCACTATCAAATTCCTTCCAAAGAGGAATACCTAGAACCTCAAGACTCTTTTCAATTTTTCAAAAAAAAAACGGGTTCTCAAAATTAACTCAAAAACAGATCAGGTAATAATTTTCCAAAAACAGAACACCGAAGTTCCCCAAAATTGTTTTAAATAATTTACAAACAAACTTTCCATGGGATTCCAAAATAATACACCTGGGTACTTCTTCAGACTCTCCGAAATTAAAAAAAAAAACACTACAGCACTCAGGATGTTTTCAAATTTATAAAAAATAAAACACTAAAAGCTCAAAAGATTTTTTCAAGTTCATCCAGCAACAAAATATCAGATTCCTTTAAATATACCTCGTACTAAGGTCGTTTGATTTAAAAGAAATTATTACTTCTCCAACTCGAGGCAAAAACTGCCTGGACAATATCTTTACATACTAAACACTAGAGAAGATGTTCAAAATTCCTGCCTTGTAAGTAAGTTCGTAATATTTTTTTAAAATTTTAATCATTTTTTGTAAAAGTTAGTCATCACTATTTGTTAAGATAAAACTGATTTTGGCAAATGAGATACCTTCTAAGAAAAGAGAGGGTGGGTGGGCGGGGCTAGTACCTGATAAGATAAGGCTAATTTTCGCAAATGACATACCCTTAAGAAAAGAGAGGGTGGGTGGGCGGGCCTAGTACCTGCTAAGATAAGACTGATTTTGGCAAACAAGATTCCTCTAAGAAAATAGAGAGGGTTGGGCGGGGTTAGTACCTGCCAAAAAAAGTCCGATTTTGGCAAATGACATACATTTTATGAACAGAGAGGGCTGGTGGGTGGGGAATAATGGTAGGAATTTGTGAAATGTAGCCTAACATACATAGTTTCTGGATGTCGAAATCTACAAATAAATCTCTTCAAGTAATTTTCGAAAATCATCAAAACAGGTCCAAAATTTCGTAATATTAAAATTAATATTTTGGAAAAGTTCCATAAAAATCCACAAAAACTTCTGTGCTAATTCGAAAAATATACCGTGTTTACGGTCTGGGGGCAATTTTTGGAAATACGCGATTTTGAACCCAAATTTTTTAAAATCTTAAAAATTATTGTATACCTACTGTATTGGCGATTCTGGCAAAATGGTAAGAATTTTAGGATAAATGAAGCCGGAAATTACTTCTAGAGGTCGAAATCGCCAAATCTACAGAAAAATGTCTGGATAATTTTCGAAAGTGGGTAAAAACGACCGAACATTTCAAAACCAGAAATTGAGAATTTGAAAACGTTGCCCAAAAATCCGCAAAAATTTTAGAATATGAATTTCGACGGAGGATTTTCGAAATCGGTTTAAAAAACAAAATATTTAAAAATCTCAAAATTTGGTACATTTTGTACTGAAGTTAGGGAATAGTAAGAACATATTTATGTGAAATAAACTCGAAAATAGTCGAAAATTTTATAATATTGACTTACGCTTTCGGAAAAGGTGCGTGAAAATCCACTAAAAATTCTGAGGTATGTAGATCTCGTCGCACTAATTCGAAAAATATAGCCTGTTTATAGTCCTGGAGAAAGATTTTCGAAAAATTATACGAGTATATTCGGTTTTTAAATTCATTTTTTTTTTAATAAATCCTAAACGTCATAATTTTTCATACGGCGATTTTGGCAAAATGGGAGCAGTTGTCGAAATCAAGCCAAAAATAACTTCAAGAGGTCGAAATCTACAAAAATGCTTTTCGATAATTTCCGAAAGTGCCTGAAAGACGAAACATTTCACAATCAAAAGGTGCCCAAAACTCCGCAAAAATTCTAGGATATGGATCTCGACGTGTTGATTAAAAAAATTTAGCATTTTTCGGTCTCGGAGCAGGGTTTTTGCTATATTTTATACTGAATTTTTGAAATGAAGCCGAAAATAGCTTCTGAATGCCGAATTCTACAACAAAATTTGTTCAAGTAATTTTCGAAAAGTTACCTTCTAGAGTTCGAAATGGACAAATCTACAAAAAATTGTCTTTGGATAATTTTCGAAAGTGGTTGAAAATAGACTGACAACTTCAAAACGACAAGTTGAGCATAAAATAGTCTCTGAGTGTCAAAATGTACAAAAAAATCTTTTAAGTAATTTTGGAAAATGATCAAAAAAAAGTCGAAAATTTCACAATATTGAAAACTTACCTACGCTTTTGGAAAAGTTACCTGTAAATCCACAAAAAATTGTAAGATATAGATTTCGATAAATGTAGTTTGTTTATGGTCC